GAAGTGTGTTGAGAATGATTCGAAATTCAAAAAAGTTTTTGTAGTGTCCACACAGCGTGAGCAATGCAGAGTAAAATATTTCAATCTATGGCATAGCTAGTCTCGTTCCAGTCGCACCCAATACGAAAAGATACTAGATCTCTCGTATACATTAAGACATAAAATCAAAATTTGGTTCCAATAATACTGAATATAAGGTGTGAGACTGGTGATGAAGATGAAGATGGAGACGCRTGTTGGAATCTCCTAAACCGGCGATTATTCATTCCATGTAGTGGGTGGACATGATTTTTAAAGAGCTGGCTCTATTGGAATTTCCACTTTCCTTATAATTTAGGTATGGACCCGGAAAATCAAGAATAAAACATCGTTTTGATTATACTTACATCAAATCGGTTCTTCTCTAAGTTAGTGAATATAACTTCTTTGACCTTCCTGGTATTTAAGCCCAACTGATACGCTGCCGCTGCATAAAAGCAGTCCCTATCAACCTTGGAGTTGTAGGTAACGGTAAACCCCGCACTTTCGAGTCGTTTACTCAGGATTTCCATACTAACACAGAGAACTACTAAGAAATAGTGAAACAAGCTTTCTCGCAACGACAAAAAACATAGAACGAGGAGAAACGCGATGCCGAAAACGCGAATTTGCTGTCCATCAACTTCACACGTTTGCAGCGGCTTGTCGCTCCAGTTTCTAGGTAACATCTTGATAAAGTCCATTGAAGACTCCTCGTTGAAGCGAGACAAGGTAAAAGACTAGTTGTTTTTTTTTTTTCCCCCGCCAAATTTATGTTTGAACAGTAAGGCCAATATAAATGAAATGTAAGAAAGTGCTAAAAGGTTTTCCAGGCCACCAATTTTGGTGTGTTTTTATAACRCTGTCACGCCAATCAGACACAGACTACCTTGCACAACCCACAATTACACCGAATTTATAGGAACAAAGCCACACGATTTCGTTTTGGAAGTATAGTGATAAATTTAAATTTATAAATGATAAATTTGGAAAAAAATTGGAACCCACGACTTCGTACCCACGACCCACGACTTCGTACCCACGACCCACGACTTCGTACCCACGACCCACGACTTCGTACCCACGACCCACGACCCACGACCATTAGGCAAACTCCCTATATTGCAGTCTTAATCATGACCTTGACCTTTTAAAAAAACATTTTAAAAACTTGATCATGACCTTGACCTTTATTCCAACTTGACCTTGAACTGAACCTAGAAAAGGCGAAAGCTTCCTCCACTTTGACTCCGCGGTCYCTGCTTTACAAGAATTACTTTAATGATGATGTGTGTGATGACGCGCAACAGTCGGTACGGTGTTCAGTTTGGACCGCTCATCTACTTAACTTGTTCACTGCGTTTGTTACTAGAAAAGTCAAAATCTGGCCKACAAAGCCTGGGAGAAGATCCAACAAACCGGTCACGTGAAGGAAACCCTGGAACAACAAAACAACAAGTTGATCCAAAGCATGGCACACAAGTCACGCGAGAACGCTTCCCTCCTCGCTGCCTGCGCACTACTGACGGGAACCCTGTGGCCTGCATATACCCGTATACGAGCACTCACTCAACAAAGAAACATGCTGAACGAGTATGTCAGCTCTTTGGAAGGACTTAGACGTATGGCGAGGAATCTGAGTGACATGTTGAATAATGAACTGGAGGACGAATCAACGCCCGAGGGGACTCCCCTTAGGACTCGTCTTTTCTCAGACGGACGACATCCTTTATTGGTTTTCAGAGCTGCTGTGATTGCTGTTATCGCAGCCAATAGATTGCGCTATTTGGGTCACGTGAGTTGTAAGCTTTTCGTGTCGTCTGCTTGTCCAGGTGAAGTGGGTGGACTGTCTGTGGTGATGGCYGGTGGACTTCCCAGAGAAAGAGTACATTTTAAAGGTGAACCTAACACTTTACTCTTTATACATTTTTTTAAAATTACAATAAATACTGCTATTTCAATGAAGGTCGGTGAACGTTTTTTTGCATGAATGTATTTATGATCTAAATGATGTTATCACAAACAAACAAAAAATGCTGGAAAAACATGCAGACAATGTTAGTGAAATTCCATATTGTTGTGACCTATCGCTGATTGCAGTCGCTCAGTCGGTATGCAACATGCAACATAACCTTCACAAACATTTTTTAAAAATCTTTAAGTAAATTAAGTGACCCTCTAATGTTTTCATTTCTGTAGCTGTTATAGAGAATCTGAACCAAACTATTTACGACATACGCAAGTCACGTGATATGTCTGGAGGCTGTAACGCGCATGCGTGGTTCACCAGTGCTCATTTACGAGATCACGTGACCAGCTCATTGGTTGATTTACAAGATTGTCTGAGCCGATCTTTGGGTCGTGACCAGACACACCAAGAAGAAGGTAAGAAGAGAAGGATACTTAGGGACCAGTCATTTTTTGAGTCGGAGAGAGGGATGGAGGAGAAAATGTTTTTGATGCAAAAAAATTTCCAGACCCAAACCTAATAGCATTGATGTCTTTCGGGTACCCCCCGCCCCCTCAATCGTTTAAAAAATCCTCCCAATCTTCCCGATCATCCTTTTGATCTTTCAAGGCCCCCTTGTTCCACAAAAAAAATTGAGGGCCCTCCATTTTCTCCTCCACCCCCCCACCCCCCCCCCCCCCCCCCCCCCTTTCCCCCCCCCCCCACCCCCCCCCCCGACTTAAATAGTGACTGGTCCCTTAATCATGATGTCCCGTTCTATTTTATAGACCTTGTGTGATGCATTGAGGTGTAGCTTCAATATACGAACATCGTTTATTGGCGGATCATGCCTTATATGGTGTTGTTTGTACCCAAGCTAGACCACGATGCACCGTGTTTGTCGAACTCGGAAAAGACCAGTTTGCCAATGCATTACCACCATTAATTCTTTTGTTCTTGGTATGTCTGTATGGTGATTGCTTCTCTGAATGAAGTATTATCGTCCTCCTTGACTCATTTGACTATATTGTCGTTCTTTATCTTTCTGCTTACCAATGATAAACACCTCAGCCCTTAACGCCATTGGTTTCTTAATTTGCAGAAGAGGTTTCATTGGTTACCAGTTCTCCATCAGAAACAACTGCAGTAATCAACGCTGCAAGAAATTCCTTCTCTAAGCTAGTTTCCAGGATACAACCCGAGTTCCCTGCCGCTTCGTCCGAAGAGGAAATGTGGCGAGATGGGTATGGTTACCGTGGAGACCTCGTGTTCATGCTGGGTCAAGGACTGCATAAATTACTGACGAGTTTTAATTTACCGAATGGAACGAATTACTCCTCATCACAGGTAAAATGACATTTAAAATAYACTATGGAAAATTATTTAACGATTATTCGCCGAAGGCGAAGTGAACATCGGGGAATATTTACTGAGACGCGAGTCTTTTAGCATATACCAACTTGTGTACAGAGTAACTTATTTTTATATACAATAATTCAATAAAAACAAACAAACAGAAACTTTTAGATTGCGTAACAAATTCATGCAAAACTTTTAGCAAAACTTTTAGCAAAGCCTTTAGGCCATACTTCSTTGCCTTTTTAGTATTGATGGGAATGGCATTTATTTTAATTTTTTCAATTTCCTCATCAGAAATTATAGCAAAACGATTGCCGGCAGATGCCATTTTGTTGCCGACTCAATATTCCGAGATTCAAAGGTGAATATCGTACAATATTCACCTCCAATTAACCAATGAGCGCGCGCGTTCTTAGGAAGTACACAAGTTGGTATATGCTACAAATATAAAGAAAGATGCGAGTATCTCTAAAGGGTTTCTCAGCAACTGCATATTGTAAGGCAATACAAAATTTCTCCGTTGAGAACCAAATTGATTTTCACATCTTGTTCCTGCCYTCCAACTATCCAGTAACAATGCTTGAATGGTTCATCTGAAACCRCGAAACAAATTTTGGGCTGATCAAAGCCAGCGAATGCTCACGGATCGAGTCGGAATGCAGTCTGTTGGATTTTGCGGAGGGAGGAACATTGGAGAACCCGGAGAAAAAATCTCGAATCAAGTGAGAGACTCAACAAACTCTACTCACATGTGATGCCTTGCTAGTAAACATTACGAATCGGTATAGTACTAGGACAAACACTCAATGACTTCTCTGGGTCTTTCCTTTCAGCAAACTATAGCCAACCTTCAAGGTCATATATTAGGGTTTACTCAACGGCTTCACACGGCTGAAGTAGAGAGACGGTCTCTGAGGTTAGAACTATCTAAGGCTTGCCAGGAGGCATCAGAACTGAAGAATGTCCATGTCGGTAACCAAGGTGAAGTTATGAAGGCACGTGAGAATGCACGAAGCTTGGAGGCAAAGATACAGGAAATGAAAGAAGAGGTAATCTGTTTTCTAATTGGTCTGTCCAAAAATGTCATCCTGCATTCCGATTGGAAGAAGTTCATGAACTTCTGCAATTGGTCAATTCAAAATTGTGATGATTTAGAACGAATTAGCCAATCAGCGGACATTTTGTTCGTCGTTCAATATTTCCTAGTTCTATGTTTTTGGCGTGATAATAACAGGTTTTACTCGAAAATGAAAGGAAAAAACTTATTCTTGGTAAGATTTACCAGATACCTTAGAAATAGTATATTTTGTCGTTGGTGGAAAATATTTCGTTTTGAAAATACAAGGGATAATAGACCATGTCGTTCTGACAGTTTTAAATAAAATACGATGAAAACGGTTCCGAGTAGGGAGAGCATCGTTATGAATCCAAATTTTGGACCAAAGACGACGAGGTGTAGAACTACAATATTTATCAATATATATCATGTGTTCGCATCATGAAACTAGTTGGGCGTGATGCGTCAAATTTAAATCTTGATTCCTTTCTGCAACGAATGCGCGCAACGGTTGTAGGTAGACGCACGGCGTGATTTGATGGTTTTTAAAGATTTCCAGTTTTAATCTAAAGAGATTGTTTTTCTTCTATAGACCCCTTGCATGTGACGTCGAAACAGTTCAACAAAACAAAAGAATTTCAATCTGCTGAGAATCGAAAACATATTGTYATGTCCTCCAAATTGAGCTGCATTCTGGCGTGCTGCAAGGGGACTATAGAGTGTGTGCATCGTGTGACTCAAAATCCCTTGAGATATGAATGACAATGAAACAGCCGCCATGGTGGTTGATCTAACAAGAGAAGCTAATGAGGAATGCTTTGTTATCGTCAACCAAGATGGTGGTTATGACGTAACATGCACATGCTCTATAGAGACTTTGCGCCATCACGTGATGAAAGCCAAGRCAGGAGGCAGGAACAATTGAATCTGGTTTGATTTACATGAGAAAGAATTCAGTTTCCCAGGGAAAAAGACTCTACTATTGTGCCTCTTTTCATGACTGCCACGTCGAGATGGTGCAAGCCTCTATTTACAGTAAATAATTTTTTATATTATTCCAGATGGTTTCCATGGTACCTGTGGATCGATTCCAGAGCGTGTGCGATGAACTGAATAATGCATTAAAACGCGAGCAACAAGCCCAGGCGTTACTGAACGAACAGACTACACAGATGCAAGAGATCGGTGCGCGGTTAGAGATGCATGCTTCGCAGGGTGACGAAAAGGATGCTACGTTGGAACAGGCTGTTAKGGTAAGAGTCTGCAATAATGGGGACCTTTAGCATGTTTTTTGTTTACCACTGACCACTAATCCCTAGAGATCAGGCCCAGAAACACGCCCGCAAACACGGAAAAACACTCAGCATCTATGAAACTCAATATGGCCACTTATCCAGAAACAACTTCGTTATCGGACGCCTTGCTAAAGGTCGAAAGTTTGACGTAAAACGCCTGACGTTGAACTGCAGTTTGGGGTTTGCGGGGCTAGCAAGAACGTCTTGCTAAAGAGGTCTCTAATAACAGTAATAACAGGACGGGGGAGGGAACTGTAGTAAACGGTACTGGAAACAGTAGTATAGGCTGTCAGGGTAAGGGTCTACAATATCAGTAATAACAAGACGGGGCAGGGAACTGTAGCTAGCTGTAGTGGAAACAGCAGTATAGGCTGTCAGGGTAAGGGACTACAATATCAGTAATAACAGGACGGGGGGGGGGGGGCTGTAGCAAACGGTACTGGAAACAGCATTATCGGTAGCATCAGCATCAGAAGTAATAGTTGAATGAACTACTTCAACGATACGGCGGCCATCTTGGATCGCAAAACTCTTTGGGACGTGCAGGGGCGAATAAATATCAGAGATGGCGGATAATATGGGTGGTGTAGTGGTTTACCGCTCGTTTCTCACCGCTGTGGTCGATGATCGATGTGCCGTCTCTCTCTCTCTTCTAGGGTCTGAGTGAAGCCAAGATGGATCTTCGTCGTCAGGAACACGCTGTACGTCAGATGAACAAACAAATCACGTATCTAGAATCAGAGAAGAAGTCGCTATCAGAACGACTGACTGACGCGGAAACAACTTTAACGTCTGCTGCCAGGTATGGGTAGCCTCYCTCACCTCTTTAACGTCTGCTGCCAGGTATGGGCAGCCTCCYTCACCTCTYTAACGTCTGCTGCCAGGTATGGGTAGCATCCCTCATCTCTTTAACGTCTGCTGCCAGGTATGAGTAGCCTCCTTCACCTCTTTAACGTCTGCTGCCARGTRTGGGTAGCATKTTTCATGTGTCTCTGACCCAACGGTTTCCAGACGTCTGGCGTTTTTACCCCCGACAGTTAAATTTACGACGGGCCGAGTGCATTCCGATCGTGAGCGAAAAATATTCCCACGACTCGGCAGCATATTTCCTATTTATCGCTGGCGATTGGAATGACTAATGATGCAATCAGCTCGTCAAAAATTTGATTGGCGGGAGCAAAAACGCCAGAATTCTGGAATCTGTTGGTTTACATAAGCGTGAAACGGGTTTTTACGCTAGTATTAGAATACATGTCCTGGTAAAAGCTTTGTTTTTGTGTGCGATCACGAAAAAGGTGTTCAGTAGCTTTGTTGTTTAACAGAGAGAAAGAAGCTCTTCTTGCGTATCTTAAGTCAGTGGAGAGGGCCCTGGAGCAGAGTATAGATCAAGTACGTTTATCACAGGGAACAGTAGGTCTGTACGAGTTGACTCTACCTCAGCTGATGACCCCAGATGAGAGACTTGCTCTAGATGGACAATCAGTAGGACCGGAAATGCTTGCTATTCAGGTAAGAAATTCCCGTTCGCGGATCCTGCGATGTTTTTGGTCTTCGCTAAAGATAAGGTTATAATTGAATAAGTATTCTCGTCACAGTCTGATTGGCTAAATTTGATCACGTGACGGCTAATATATTGCCCGCGCGARACACAGTTGAATGTCATGACGGACATGTGAGAGGGATACTTATTCACACGTGAGAAAAAGCGACCAATCAGAGCATTTGTTATGCCTAGCTCACACTTGTAACACGATCATTAACATAAGCGGCATGCGCTTCCCTGATCAATATATTCTTGTGTTTCAAGTTTGAGCCAGGAAGATTASAAATTCCTAGGTTGAGCCGGGGGAAAAACTGGAGGTCGAGTTAGAATTGTAGTACGAAATAGACGCTGCCTTTAAAGCGTACCGCTAAAACAGCCCCACAATTCACCGCAATGCCAACTCGGCCCAGGTTTTTCCTCAACCTCGCAATGGCTAARTAGGACAGCTTTTGTACAACTGAAAATCACACGGTTTTGATTGGATAATTAATGACGTGCTCTGTGATTGGCTCGAAGAATGTTGTYAATGCTATTCCACAGTCATATAATCTATTCAGCGTAGCTTTATACTATGTTTTTTGTGTGTGCACAGAATGTAGTGTTAGCATTCGTGGAAGCACAGCAAAAATCCCTGGATCAAATCGCATCCTTGCAAACCGAGAGACAACAGATCTTATCACGGATAGCCTCCATGGATGAAGAACTGACGTCCCAYAAAGCTCACATCCAGTCGTTAAAGCGAGAACTATCAGCGGCCTGTAGAAGACAGATGAGTGATGACGGGATGAGCGACCTCACGGTGAGTCGCGTAGCCTCACGTTCAAGTGTTTGAGAACGAGGTTACGCAGGTTTAAACAAAGGTTTTTTATTCTCATAAGAATAAACATAACGCAGTGTAATTTTATATCTACACTTCAGGAATCCCTTTTGGCAGCTCTTGTTATGCCAGTTTTATACCTATTGTCTTGGTATTGTCAAAGGAGTTTTAATATTTGATATGAGGTTTGGAAAAGAATTGTGGTAGTTTTTTTGTATAAAACGTCGTTGGGTTTAGGTTCTGAAAAAAGCACCTTGATGTTTAATTAAATGCTTTTACATTCAAAATCGAATTCAAAAATCGTACATTCTCCTCGTGATATTCAATTGGTATTGTAGAATTGCTACAGTTTTTGAAAAGAAAAATGCTGAAAGTAGATGTCAAGCTTTCGCATGAGGTACATTCATAAACAATTTAAACGTGTCTCTTTTATCAAAAATGATGGAAGTTTCTAATCCTTGTTAGTCATCAGCGAAATCAGTAAAGAAACAGAGCTTTGATGATTCGTTAAACAAACTGGACGACTGTTGGACGTTACTGAACAGTGCCAAGGCAATAGAGAATAGGAAGGTTACTAATCTTGTCAAACTACAGGTAGGAAGATAGGGAAATAGCTGACTCATTCATGCTTGATAGTGAAGATAATCGTACACGCGGGGGAGGGGGGTGGTGGATCCATAGGTTCTAGAATATCCAGTTGTATCGATACCCTAAGAAAACCTCTAAGCTGAATGAAAGTAAGGGCACGGCTAACTCACAAATCGAAATGGAGCTTAGTGTGTTGGGCTCTGCGAAGGGAGGAACTCTAGAGAAGCCGCGGAAGAACCCACGAATCRAGAGAGAGACCCRACAAATTCTGCATATYTTTGGAATGAATGTGACGTCATGAGGGCCAAGTTGSTCGTTGACATTGACCAAAAATTTGGTTTTTGGTTTCGTTTGTTATTCCAGCCAACTTGTCAGGCACCATTTATTTTGCCTTACAATTTTATGTAAAGGGTTGCACCCCATCGATATAGATTTTCGATCAGGTTGAAACACTCACCCCTCCCCACCCCCAGCTTCTTGCATTAAGGCTGGCCGCACACTTGCTCCTAATCTTCTAAGTTTCATTTAGTTRTACATTTAAACTTTTGTGTGTGGATCGTTCAATAGAGCGAGTTACAAGAAGCTTGTAGAAGATTGTCAAGTGATGAAAATGAAAGCTCAGATTTTGCAAGTTCATCTAACTTCACTTCTACAGACAAGCAGATAGACAGTGAAACGGATAGAAAGGTAGAGATGAATGCAGCAATACTATTGGTCAGGGAAATRTGAACCTTATTTTAATTGAATTTGACAATCACTAGTCAGTTTTGAGAATGATTTCTTTAACTTGCACGTGAGTAAGACAGAAAGACAGTTAAGTCGATAAAACGTCTAGAAAGATATGTACGGCATTGAATAAGCAAAACGTAAACTAACTGTGGCGTTCCTAGRGATCTATTCTTGGGCCTTTCTAGTTCAAAGGCTATATTGTTGTCACCAATTATGTCAAATTTACCATCTAACACAAAACATTTAATTGAGGTTGCTAGGTAGTTTCGAAACTGAAGTATTTGAATTTGAA